TAAATTCTTTGAAAAATATAAAGAACTCAATAGACAGTCATGTACTTGAAAGACCAAGTTGAACAAAGCTCAACTATATACCATATATGAGGGAAGGAAAAAGAGAAAGAAAAAGAAAACCCAGAAAAGTACCAAAAGCTATTTTTCTTAAAGCAAAAATATAAAAAGCCAAAATCCTCAAATTGATCTAATGCATTATTAAGTAGCCTAGGGAAAATTTTGACTTTACTGTTGTTTTGTAAAAGGAGAAAAACTGCTAACGGAATTTTCTTGTTTTTCAAAAACTGATGTTTTGAATATGTACTATTTTCAAACTACAAAACTGTAACCCCTGCTAAAGCCTTTAGGCATATGTACACTTATAAATATAACATTAAAACACAAATATACAGCATAATTAAATGTGCTGTACAACATAAGGAAGGAGAGATAGTGAGAACTCATATATGGCTTACAGAGAAGCCTCTCCTAGGTGGTCTGTGGGGAGGATGAGAGCTTATGAAACAGCACAGAGGGCAAGTTAGAAACAATGTCTCAGTAACCAGAACTGTCTTAAAGAATCTCAATGTGGAGATAAACAAGCACACCTGAACCCAAGCAGCCATTGATAATTAAGGAGACATTTTTTGGAAAGGTTAGATGAAGTCAAGGTTAGAAGGACAGGGTAGAAGAAGGAATATAGGGAGGGAGAATTAACACCAAAGACCTTTGAAAACACCATGTGGAGACATACTACTCCTAGATGCTTCCTAACTCACACAGTAAACACATATAAAATGAGTATAAGTGGGGTCGCCCTATAATAGAGGGTTAGGGGTACCGACAGTGCCTCCCACAGACACTATGGGCTATCAAGTAGAAAACTCGGGGCCAGGGTATGGATTACTTCTTTTCCATTTGTTTGTCAGTGGGGTCCTATAGATGCTCTCAAATATTATAGGCAGTTGCCATTGCATTTGATTGCCATCTAGAACTGGATGACAGGACCCTCCTGCTGTAAACAACACACACTTGAATAATAGGAGCTGGATAATGTAACTGGTACTGACCTGGATGTTTCGTCTCTCCTGTCTAGCTTTTACAGCACTAGAAGGGGCTATGCTATTCATGTGGCTGGAGAGAAAAATCGCCGACAAGTTACCCTTTTCTCTTTTATTCTTTCTTTTGACAAAATGCTACCATCTCACTTTTATCTCTTTTTTTTTCTGCAATGTATAATTTCTAGGGTGGGCACTATGAAGATATATTGGTATATTGTATATAACCTTTTCCATTGAGATTATTTTGATTTACAGAAAATTTGAAGAGGATATAGAATGTTCTTGTATATATTTTTTCATGGAGCGTCCTCTGGTATTAACACTTTATACCACTGTAGTACATTTGTCAGAGCACTGTTTCCTTACTACTGCTTAAACTCCCAACTTTATTCAGATTTCACCTGTGTTTTCCTCCCATGCAGGATTGCCACTGCATAGAAACATGGTATTGTTCTCGACAGTAATGGTTTCTTGGATTTTTTTTTCCTGGAAGAATACTAGTTGGTTGTTTTGTAGATTATCTTCTCGCTTTGGGATTTTACAGCTGTGGCCCTGATGAGATCAGGGTCTGTGCATTTGGGAGGACACCTTTCCCATTACAGCCTTTTAGGGCCCAGAGACTACCACTGAGACTCATCCCTGGAGGCTTTAATCTTGATTTCCAAGTCCATGAATGGTCCCCTGCTTTCTCCTCTCATTTCTCTATCTGCCCTCATATGTTCTTTTCTGGAAACAAGTCATTAAATGGAGCCCATCCTCAAATACAGAGAAGACCGGCATTGAGTACTAAGGGCCATTTCCTGGATGAGACTTTCCCCATAAATTATTCTAAATGCTTCTCTGGGGAAGATATTTCTCTCATTAATATTTTTCCTTTATCTACTTATATAATTATAAAATCATATACTTATTCCACATTTTGTGTTATAATACCTTTTGCTATTTTTGTTCAAATGATTCAAGCTCTATTGTTTTTATCTTGAGAGTTCCCTCTGTAGGGCCACTCACTTATCAAAATGTGTTCTGCCCTATTAGCTAAGCACCATCAGTTCTGTTTGGCTAGGCACGTTGTGCCATGACCACAAACACTCCAGTCACACCCTGCCTGGCAATTGGTCATGGATTTTCTTTTGCATGCTCAAGACTTCACTGTGGTGGCTCTCACATCACTCCTCAAATCCAGGGATGGTAGCCTCAGAACTATGATACCAGGTTGTTTCCAAAAGTAGCAATGTGTTGGAAGTGATAAGGGGCCTAGACCCTAGTGGGTCAGCACTTCAGCATGATGCTGGGAATTCAAGGAAGAATCAGGGAGATGAACTCCCATGGCATTCCAGTCTCTGTCCTCTTGAGTTCTGTGATTTCAGCAACAGTTTCAGGCTGAAGACAGGTGATGAATTTGGGTTCATAGTGAAGTTAGTTCAGAAGGAAATGAAGACAGGTTTAACAGGAAAGATTAGTGGACTTTCTACCTCTGGGCACTAGATGTCTGCTTTGCTCCTCACTAATCAGTTTCCCACACGCCTCTTGCCATTTGCTTTACTTAGGATGAGTTCCTAGAGCTCAAATTGCTGTTCTCTGCTGGCTGCCTTCTTTCTTTCTTTTTTTTTTCCTCACTGCCCTCCATTTAACCCACTTCTTTTTTTTTTTTAAGTGCTTGTGCATAGAGGGCTGGTCAAGGGGGAAATTATGTTGATTAGGAAGCATGGTCCAATTAAGTCAGACATGATGGGGAAATTGCTTTAGAGTCCAAATATATACCTGCAGGATAGAGGGGCCTCTTTAACACCTGCATAAGGAGTGTACAAATTTCATAGCTTATAGCTCAGGGCAAAGAGAATGGAAGGCCGATAACTTTGCATGTAAAAATGATTAGGGATAGCTAAACAATATTGTGTATCTTGGTGGGAGGGGGGAAACAATGTGGGGTTTTCTTTAGACCAGTGATATTTAGAAAACATCTGCTCTAAGAAAATAGAATTGGCACTAGCAGGGGAAGTGAGGACACTGGGAGTCCTTAGCTGTTTCCTTTCGTGTTTGTCTCCCTGTTACTTCTATCCCACTCCCACGCAAATCTTAACATCCATCCCTTCGCCTATCAGTTTCTGGTCTTGCACCCTGGGAACAAGTCTGCAGCAGTGTTGCAAGTCTAAAATGATCTGGGTTCTAGAAGCGAGGATAGCTGGGGCCAAAGGATGTCACAGAGGGACGCTTGCTGAGAAGTAGCTTTTGAAATGCCCTGCCTACTTCCTCTGCCTTCTTTTGCCAGCTTTTCATAGCAGTTGACAGATTATGTAATCTAAACCCACCCACTGATAATTTTTTTGGTGTGGAGAGATTGTATGGGCATTTCTATTTCAGCCAGTCTCTAGTTAATAATCAATAGTCCTGTTGTCTAATGAAGTGATGGCCTTGACACCCCAGCCTTTGTGCAGTGTTAAAATAACATTGATCGCTATCATTATCATATGCCCTTGATATACTGAATAAGGACGTGGATATCAATCTTAGAGCACAGTAACATTTCATAAATCTTGTAGAAATAGCTGGGATTGTCCAAACCGGCATATGCTTCTTGACAGCAAAGTGACAGAGGAGCCTAAGACACAGATCATTTATAATTTATCTCCAAGCCCAGACTGAAGAAAAACTCAAAAGTCGCACTTAGTCTAAAAAGTGTTTCTTGTCATAGGACTGAAAGGAGGTTCCCATTTTTCAATGGTTTTTGAAGAAGCTTTTGGGATAGAGGGAGGAAGAGTTGACATTTTTCTTTGGCTTCCTCTTTTCTGAAGGATTCTTTAGGTTTTCTGCTAACTTTCAATGACTTAGTAGACGTAAGATGGGTCAGGCACACATTCAACATGGCTGAAGAGCTATAAGAGAAGGTCCAATACTCCATCTTTAAGCTAGTCCTGGATTTCAAGCTTTTCCATTTAAATGAATTCAAAACTGCCTTGATAGGAAAGTCAAGTGTGGTGACATTGAACTGTGAGCCCAGCTGTAGGAGACGGAAGATGGGGGAATCATGAGGCTGAGGTCGGCCAGGGCTAAACAGTAAGTCTGAGGACAGGTGGAAGGAACTGCATTGTGACGGACTGCCACCTCCAAGGCCACAATTTGCTTCTTAATTAAAAAATGGAAAACTAGACACTCATTGAGAAATAATAGCTATTTATGAGGTTGTTTGGGTTAAGTAAGTGTGGGAGGGTTAAGTTTTTTTCTTATTGCCAGATAACAAATAATTCAAAATCAGGAATATTGGATCAAAACTTTAAGGTAAGTTACTTTATACAATGACATTTCCTTTATAAAACAATGCAATGGCTCATTGACTCTGTTGAGCATCTTTATCATAGATATAAAGAGACATTGCTCAGGGAAGTTGGGCTGTTCCTAGTGATTCTCTAATGTGGGGCAGCTGCTCAAAGATGTGTGGAGATTCTGGAGACCGGGGTGTGAATAATTCATAGTAATTATTTCTTTGTGCTGCCGAATTATCCTTGTGTTGTCAATAGAATTTGAGAATGGGTCAACAAGATGAAAGAAGGCAACAGTTCTTTGAAGTGTGCTGAGTTCTGAGGTGGAGAAACCCATGGAAAGAGGGAAAAACACAGGGGCCCTGATCAGATGCAAGCAGATCAAACGCCAGCATGCCTCATTGTCAATTTAACAAAACATTTCCATTTATTTAACTATATTTTAAATTTATATCTATTTCATTTTAACTTTGATGTGTTTATTGTCAATACATTACAAATATAAACTTTTCCATTAAAAAGTAAACATTAACTTTTCTTTTTAAGACAAAAAGAAACCCTACCTTTTAACAGAAATAGAGGTCACAAAAGGCAAAATACTAGGACACTATATGTATTTATGAATTTTGCAATGTGAATATATGCTGTATGCATATGATGTGTGTTGTGTATTGTGAATGGACACATTTTGTGTTGTGTTTTGTATGTCCTTTTTATTTTAAGAAATATACCTCTTATTAATGCTACCAAGGGCACGCCTCATCAGAGAGAAACATGTATTCTTATATAAATTGAAGGTAGAAAAGATGAATTACTAAATCTATTTACGTGGTCAAAATAACTAATATCGTAACCATATTCAGCTAGTTATTACTGCTAGAGGTGGTTTAAGTTGAACTAAAGCAATGTACATCCAAAGTTATTCAATTCCTCTTGAAGACATTCTCTTAAAGGATTATTGTCTCATGATTTTCCTTAGAAGATGTTCTTGAATGTTCCAATTTGCAAATCTTGTAGAATTCTTTTTTTTTTAAGTAAACCAAGAAGCATTTGTTCAGCTACACTGCAGACCAGGATGAGAGCGAGGGAAGGTCAAGGCACCTAAATGTAGGCGTTGTGCTGTTCACAGCCTTGTAGGGTCCTTATGTTTCACTGAAAACACCCTAGAAGAAAACAATTGAGAAAACAATTGCTATTTGGTTTTATGTAGTTGGCAGCTGGACACTCACATGATTAGTGCCAGAAGACATTTTTTTTTTAACAAATAATTTCAACCCCTGAGACAAAGGCATAAATCCCTTGCCGGTGTACCGCCCTTACTCCCTCACCTGCCAAAAATGTAAATATTTTTAGAAATCTTTTATTTACAAGGCAGGGAGCTTTGGGGAGGAAGCATCGGGACAGTAGAAGAACACAGATAAATGTGGCAGCGGGGAGAGCTTTATGACCACTCCAGACTCAACTGTCATTCCTTTGGTACTTTCTGTCAGTCTGACTAAACCCTGTCATCCTTCAACCCGGTTTAAATTAACAGGTAATTTGTAAATGTCACTTCAGGTTAGGCCGCTCATTTTGTTTCTACTCTACCAATGCAAAGTCTAGGACTAATTTTTCTTGTCTTCTTTTAATAGGATTTTCATTTATAAATAGAATTATGTTCTGAAAATAAATTACAGTAAGTGATGCAGGGAACGGTGGCAGTACCACTCTCTTGGAATTTCAAGCACCTCCATCAGAAAAGATTAATAAAAACACTTCAAAGGCTAAATTCTATTTAAGCAGAAGACAGCTTTTGGTTAATATTTAATCTGAGTAACTGAGATCTTGGTGGAAAACATAATTTTTTAATATCTAAATTAATTTTCAAAACAAAACCATTAATTTTGTTTGGAGAGTTTGTGTAGTGAGAAACCTTCAGTAATATATTTGTAGAGGGAAAAGTTAATCAATTAATTTTGTGGTGAAAAAAAATTAGCTTTTAATATTGTGTTTGTTCTAAATGAGTTTCTTCTTATCCAACCAGGTGCAGGCCTTGAGAGTTCTTTTTCCTAAGCTTTCCTGTCTCCAGAGGGAAGAATCTTTCTTGAACTTTCTTCCATGGGGGTGGGGGGGTTCTTCATCTCTAGTCTTTATACAAAAGGCTCAGCAGGAGCCTGAGCCTCTCTACAGCTGAGACTGGTTGCTGGTGGCTGATGGGAGCTTTCACATGGAAACTTTAGGCATTGCCTCCATGGTGGGTCCATTGTACTGAAGGTTTTTGTTTTTGTTTTTTAATGGAAAATTAGAATTGGAAACTAAAGTGGAGAATCAAATCAGGCTAAAAAAAGAGCGGCCTTCCTAAGGCGCATGAGAAGCAGCCACCAAATATTGATTGATGGTGTGAGACAAAGGACCTATATCTGTCATCAGGTTTATCTGTATCTGCCTCTTGATTGGTGCAACGGTTAATGTGACCGTTGGTGCCATCTTACCGGTGTTGTTGTTTTCTGAGTCTCTGGCTTGAGGCACATGCCTTCTCCTGAGTTCAAACAATGCTTTGCAAACTTGCCATCTGTGTCTGGCCGATATTAGCAGGCATAAAAGCTGCTGCAGTGTGAAGCAAATGCTCTCTAATCCTGCTGCATGATAGCTCAGACATCACCTAGGTCATCGTCTTTCCTGCCTTCCTAGCCAGAGTTGAAAGCAGCGGAGCCTGGGAATGGTTTGTCTTATAGCCTACAGCCTGGGTAGGGCCATCTCAGAAGGAGGATTTAGGGATCGTCTAGTGTTTAGCATAAAAAATTGGTTTAATAGAAACCCCTACTTCAAACTAGCCTGCCACTTTAACATTGCCCTCTCCCTCTTCACTCTGTTTTCGAATGTTCTTCGTGGACTCTTTTCTCTATCTGCTGAGTATGAGCTGTGGAGTCATAGACACCCACATTGTGTTGGATCTAGGCCTTCATCAAGCGTCTTGTCTACGTCATGCCTCATGTGGTTCAGTGATCAAGTGTGTTGTGGGCCTTTTCATTTCCCTAAGTGATCGTCTTCCTACTGGACATGAGTTTTTAATAGAGTCATATGACCTCATTGCGGAAACTTGGGACACTGGAAAACTATTACCATGCACTTTCTGATTTTGACTTGCATATTTCTTTCAAATGTTTACACCTAATAGCAGCTTCTTAATTTAAATATTATTTTAATCAGAATAAACATCATATAGAATTTTAAGTCTATCACTTCACTTTTACAAATTTTCACATAGTTTATAGCTAAGATATTTCTAAATGGAAAGAGTCCTAAAGGAAATAACAAGTGTCCATATTATATTCATTTTGGAATAGTGATGGGAGGAGTTCAAGTAGTTTGTATTTTTTCCATTAAAATCCTTTTTTTTTTTATCATTTTGTTCTGTCATGGAATATGGCCTCTGTGGACAATGACTGTGTCACCAGCATTAAACAGGAAGCAATACAGACAACATATCATTCATTCATTATGGATGGGAGAACAAAGTTTTAACATAATTTCAGATTATTTAAAAGTCACTTAGGTTCTAGAGCCTCTATTTGATAGAGAAAATGTGTCCATTCTTACTGTATTGCAGAGCAAGGACTATTCTGAGCTCCGGAAGGTGGTATGAGTTCTGCCTTAATCTGGATTGGCTCATGCCCTTTCCACATCTGCCTGTGAACAAACCAGCAATGTGCCCCATGAAAACATGCTGATCATGTCCTCCTCAGCTATATCTCAACCTGGGATTTTTCTCAGTGTCTTCTGAGACACCGGCTGTATCGTGTTGCAGATGTGATTAATAGGTAGTAAGTTAATATTATTAAATAAAAGGTCCTCCTGGCTAGGGAAAAAATTCTTATAAAAACCATTTTTTTATGTTATAGAATGAAGATTTTATTCCCAAAAGAATGTTCCAAGGTTTATGGCTTCATTTGCTAAGGACACGGTTTCTCTTTTGTGGGTGCCCACCTGAGAGAGGTGTTCTCTTTGCCCTCATCAGATGTACTTGCTCAGTTCTTCAACCTATTGGTTTCCAGAAGGCTCTCTCTTTAGCAGACAATGCTTGCTGTAAAATATCTGCCTGTGACATAGACAAGAAGCAAATGTAGAGGAAGTGAGCAAGAAAAGCAAGGAATTTATATTTTTGCAGTTGCCATTGCTTTAAATAATTAGGAAAAAAATAAAAATTATTCTGTATGATGGGCTATGTTCCATGATTAAGAATCATGTTTTTACCAGATTTTTTCTCTCACTTTTTAAAGACTATTTTCCTACAAACTCATCATTTATGACCCCCCCTTTTTTTAGCAGAAAAGATAAAGAAAAACCATGCCATACAGAATTATGGTAGAAAATGAGGGCCGGTGTCCATTAAACATTTGGCTCTTTTTGTGGTTGTATGAAAAACTGGTACTCGAAAAACAATATATAAATTTTATTGGATAGAGGAAGAATGGGGGGTTGCTTTCCTTCTTTACACACACACACACACACACACACACACACACACACACACAACTCTTAATTGAATAACTTCACCCCAGATTCCCATTAGGGTCAGAGGCATTACTAGAGGTATTAGGTGATGCCCACCCCTTTGAGTGAGCCTGTCATTGTCATTCTTATCATAATAATATACAATTATTTTTGAGTTTTCATTAAAACTAAATGATAAACTAACGTTGGGGGCTGGTGAGACTCAATCCCCATGTCTCCATTATTTGCCACAGAAGCTTATGGCAAATTTCAGACCTTTTCTGTCTTCAGTGTTCTTGCTTCCAGCTAGACGTGGTGAGGTAGAGATGAGTCATTGCCTGCCAGGCTTCACAAAATTAACTTTAAAATCTCTGCAAAATATGAAGCATATGTTTAAGAACAATATTAATTATGACTCAGCCAGTTTGCATTTTTTAAAAAACATGAAATAATAATAAAACAGACCTGCTTCTTATTTACACAGCCCGGCACTTTGAAATTTCTCATGGCGGAAAAGCAGTCCTTCATGCACATAACCTACGAATTATCCTTGAAATAAAATGTTTAATTACAGTTGACATTTCTGAACCCATTGCAGGTGGTGCCCATCTGAAGAGTGACATTGTTTACAACACTACAAGGCTCCAGGCCTGGTGTCAGAGATTATAAACCAATTTCCATCCCTGCTTTAATGCTGGTTTAATATCAGAAGAAGAACTTTACTGTGTAAATATTAAACATTTTGTTTAAATATTAAGTACCAAAGGTCTTTTCCTTTTGATTATTAAAACAGGAAGAGCCCCAACTTTGAAAGAGGTGCCTTGTTGTATTAAGAAAATGACTGGTTCTTTACCTCCAGGTTAATTATCACTGGCCACAGATACAGGCGAAGGCAAAATGTCAGTTGTCTGCCTGTGCCATGGTGAGTTTTGGTCATGAAGCTGCAGTAACTAATCAGGTCTCTATACCATGGATGGACAAGAAACAACTGCAGTAGCTAATCAGGTCTCTATACCACGGATAGACTAGAAACAACTGTCTATTTCTCTCCTATTTTTTTCCCGAAGCTTAGAAATGATCCTGTGATAATTAACTGAAGGGTAACAAAAATAAATAAATGCTGGTGCCTTGCTGTGTGCAGCTAGAGCATGAGACCAATCTCAAGGAAGCTATCCCTGAGCACAAAGGCAGCTCTTGGAGGGTTTGATTGCACTAAGTTGCACAGATGCTAAACATCGCTGGGGTCAGCAGAAAGCATGCCTGTTTGTCCACCTAAGGTTGAAATGCAACCAGGGAAATGCAGATTTTTAAAGATCTGCCCACAGACCAATACTGATGACATGTAAGACTTCTGCTTTGTGGGATGACACATACCAGGCAATTGTACTGGGAGCTACTGGGAGCCAGTTCACAGCACTTTCCACAGTCGGGGGATTGATCTCTGTTCTGTATTGTGTAGAAGGTAGAATAGAAAGCCTTTTGTTCCTTTTCGTTCAGATTATTTTAAAATTCTCAAGTGGTATATCCTGCACTCATCAGTCACCCTGCGACATTTCAACCGTCGGGTCTGACCTCTTGAAAGACTTATAAAAAAGGCAAACACACACACACTTGGGTACTTTTGGCCTTAAGTTTTTGGTATTCAAAATAAATTAAACACCTCTAAATACGGAGTGCCTTTAGAATTCTGTCTGAGACAGAATTTCTTCAGGGAATGTTTCAGAACACTGTGGTTTTTTTTTTTTTTTAAAAAAAAAAAAGCAAAAGGGCCTCCGTAGATGTTTGCCTCTAGAACTATCAAACTTATTCATATTTACGCATCGAAGCTCGAATACTTGTGCTGCTTGTCTGCCAAGACAAACATCAAGTCACCGGGTCCTAACTGTACTTTTCAAACCATCTCAGATTATTTAATCAATTAACATGTGTTTACTGAGCATCTAGTTTGTGCCTTCAGACATTTAAGGCAGATTTGATAAGGTTAATTTAACTGATTTGATTAAAAGTGTTTTGCGGAATAATGATAGAAAAATCAATCTGGCCAGTTAGGACGGGATCAGGCTTTTCAACTTTTCATGGCCATGGCAATGAACTTAGAGGTGGTTTGGGCTGGTGAATTGCCATGACATATAGCACAGTAGTAGTAAGGGGAGCTGTGCCTAAGCAAGAGGCAGGTTATATGCTGGAGGCTGCTGGTCACTCGAGGAGACTTAAATGACAGGGAGGGAGGTTTGAGAACATGTCAGATTTAGAGACCATTAGCAGTTTCTCATTATTTACTATCATATGAACAGTATAGAATGTGCCACAGTAACAGCCCAGGATATGGGGACTCTTGTATTCTGGCAGTCAGTTACTAATGTTTTACACAATGGATTCTCTCTCTCTCTCTCTCTCTCTCTCTCTCTCTCTCTCTCTCTCTCTCTCTCTCTCTCTCTCTCTTCTGGAGGCTCTCTGACTCTGTGTTAAACAAGACATTGATAATGACCTTCCTGTTAGGTAAAACATACAGCATGTTTTGGACTACCTATGTGTAAGAAATAAATTAAAGGGATCAATTTTTACTGTATGAAACTCAACTTTTGTTTTCACTACAAGACCCCGAAGTGAGAAGAGCATCTTGTATCGGATCAAATCTGAAGCCTTGTTTTGATTCTTGTAGAGTCTGGAATTAATCCCAGGACCTTATGCAAGTTAGGCAAACACTCCCCCACTGCGTTAGCCATACCCCAGCACCAAGCTCATCCATTACTAATATTTGAAACATTTGTTTCTCTTTTCCTCATTTACATGTGTGACTTTTTAATATCTTTCCAGAATTTCCTGTTTGAAAGATTTGAGGCCCTACTTATTAACTAGAGAGTTTAATATGATTCTATATTCAATGTCTACTTCAGTAAACCATTAGGAGCTTTCTGCAGTTGAGATTTATTTAGCTTTATAGCACTGTTTTCTCAAGTGTGAAGGTGTTTTAAATGTGAGAAACACTTTGATAAAATCTTTATATCTTCTGATATTATCCTTGAGCAAGTTTTATTAAAAATAATTGTTAATTTATAATGTCAAATCTTTGATGTGGGAGGTTCTTCTGTCTATGTGTTGCTTTTATTGGTTAATGAATAAAGAACCTGCCTTGGCCTGTTGATATGACAGAATGTAGGTAGGCAGGGAAAACTAAACTGAATGCTGGAAGAAAGGAGGTAGAGTCAGAGCGAAGCCATGGGCCTGCTGTTGGAGACAGATGTGCTGAAACTTTAGTGGTAGGCCACGACCTTGTGGTGATGCACAGTAATGGAGATGGGTTAAATTAAGATATAAGAGTTAGCCAATAAGAAGCTAGAGCTAATGGTCCAAGAAGTGATTTAATTAATACAGTTTTTGGGTGATTATTTCAGGGCTAAGCGGCCAGGAACCAACAAGCGGCCTCCCCTAACAAATCTTCTTTGAATTATTCTATGAAAATCTTCCATGTACATTGGAGGTATACCTTAGTGAAATATATCTTCTATTTTTCGAGAAGATTACAATCTAGTTGGGAAGTTGGGACATTTAAGGAACTGTCATTTGAACGGTTTGCTAGTGGGTCAAATGACCAGTGATAGGAATTGACTGGGAAATATGTCTATTACATCAGATGCATTCTCCAATCATATATTGCCAGGAGATAAAAAAAAGATGAACACCTAATGAAGAGGGGTTTGAAGTGGGGCCCCAAGAGAAGGCAGAATTATGGCCAGAAAGGAGAATAGTTCCACTTTGCCAACTCCTTCTAAAGATTGTAAAGATCGTGGTCAGAGGAGAAGAGAGGCAAGAATGTCTTTTGTAAGTTGTGTTTCATCTACAGCCAGTATATAGCATATAAGAGATGTTTCAGAGTATGTCATGGAATACAAAGGAAACATCTACATGTAGGGTAGAGGTAGAAAAATTGAAAATTAAACTGGCCCATGGCATCCTGAAGAAATTGAATGCTATAGAATTCTGTTATAGGATCTTACTTTAGTTCCCCTCAAGGAGACAGCCCTTCACTCTGTGTTCTGGGCATATCGTGTTCCTTGGTCTGAGAATCCTTTCTCCAGCTCATAAGGAGGAAATAGACTGGCCAACTCCTAGCACTGCTTGGAGTGACATTCTATTTCCCAAAGTGTCATTGAGAGGAATGCTTTAACTTCACTTCTGGACTTTTTACAAATGGCATCGTTCTTAGAAATATTGAAATATTAAAACCTTGATAATGTGGAGGCTTGGGATAAGTTCTTTGAGATTCTGGAAGTAAGAGTCACTTTAAAAGATGCTGGGAATCTGATATTTGGGGTCATTTAGTCTGATTACTAATTGGAACAATGATAAAGGGACATCTCTTTTGAAATGAAATTTTTCTTAGTTTGTTTTTTTTTTACAATAATAAATTAAAAACAAAACAAAAAAAAAACCTTCAGAATCCAGTCACAGTTCAGGAAAATCCCTAAAAACATAGCACTGGTGTAAATATTCAATGATTTTTTTTCCAGAACAGGACAACACATTAAAAAACAAAGTGTGCTCTGCTCACAACTGGTTTTGTCTACATTATGTTTCTTCTCCTCCCTGAATGATATATTCCACTTCTGAATTTCTCAAGAAACATGAAAAATATGTTATTTTTCAACCTACATTTTTACTTAACTTCTAGTCACCAGGATGAATTAATAAAATCACCTACATTTATTGACTAGAGGAAATACATGTCTTCAAAGTAGCTTTGATTAAAGATTTGTAGACTCAGACTCGGATGGTTCACAATAGGGATGTCGCCAAAATCTCTTATGGGGCATTTTAAAAATTGTGGTGATTATAAAATAATCAGTATAACTCCCCACAAAACACGTCCATCAAACTTCACATGCTGCAGTGTCTTACCATATTTTTTTTCCGTGTGTTCCATTTTTGATTTAGCTTAAAGCAAACTTTCAGAAAATATTCTAACAAACTGATATTATTTTAGGATGCCAAGTCTCAAAAGTATAAGATTGACCCTCCTATCAAAAGGACCGTGTAATATCAGAAATGTTTCCCTGGCTATTTCATTGTTTTTCATGCACCATTGACGTAAATCAAATTTTGTTTCAGGAATGATTTCAAATAGATCCATTCTGTTCTCCTGACATTTTAAACTTGCTTATGTAAAATTATTTCATCTATTTTTATTGAAAGGTACTGAACATTTCAAAAGTCATGGTATGTCCCTTGGTATGGAATGATTGTTGAATCGAGTTTTCAAATGCGGAAGATACTAACGCTGAAGTTTAGAATGGCTGTTCTCTGTGGCCTCTCTGCTGGCAGGGGGGGAGGAGTACAGAGGGTGTGTCTAAAAGAAATGGTGCTTATAGTTTTGTCTGGATAGATGGGAAGATTCTCA